TGAAAACGTCCCGGGCGTTCTTGTTTACCGTTTTGTACTTTGGGCTCTTGGCAAGCAAACAACGTTGTAAAAAACGCTACGCTGTACAACAACACTACGATAATATGTTTTTAGCTCCATTGGTTTTAGCGTTTTCAGCCCCGTCACTGTGGATCAAATTTGTTTTGCTGGTTTCTGCTTTCTGGTGGAAGGCTGTTCCTTGTCTTCCATGCTGTCTTCACTCCCACTTTTCGTTTCTGCCGCCGTTCTTCCTCGCAGAGCTGAACACGCAAAACAAGCTAACAAAACAAACAACAACAACAACAACAACAACACGCTCTAACACAAGTCTAACACAGGCCCGAAACAGGCCCAGAGGCCCGATGGCCCCAAGAAGGGCAATCGGCGATCAGGCCCAGGAGGGGCTCCGAGGACGGCGAGCAGTCGGACTGAGAGAGCCGGAGGGCTGAGGACTGCACGACAGAAGAAGGAACTGACGACGTCGTAGATGGCAATGCTAAACACTGCAACCAACTGATCTTGAAACGCTAAAAGAGGACCTGACAATGCAACAACAAATCGGTGCTGAACGCTTTCAGTTTCCTTGTTGGGATCTAACAACGCCAAACAAATCAGCTCCAATACGCCGCATTGCACAACAAGACGCCCTGGGCAGATTTGGAGAAGGAAAGCGGTGACCAGAACCAAGATGGACAGTGACCAACACGGACACGGCGACCAATCCGACCGGCGACCGAGCGTGCACGCGGCAGCATCGATGTAGATCTTGGCCCCCAGACCTCCGACGTCAGGACTTTTTCCTTACGTCGACCCCTGGAGGCCCCGACCCGTTCCCCAACGATCACAACGATAACGATCACAACGATAACAACGATAACAACGATCAACGATCAATGCTTTTCTCCTGCTGTACTCGCTGGAAGTACGTGACACGGGACAAAAAAGGCCCGCCCAGGACTCTGCCGACCCTGGGTGTGAACTCTGCCGGCTTTTCATCCTGAGTCGTTGTTTGACGGCCCCGAGGGCCGGTGAAAACAGCAACAAAAACCTCCCGCCATGACTTTTGCATCACCCGAGGGGGTCTGGGCAACTGTAAAACAGGGCCAGGATCGGGATGAATCGCTCCAGAGCGTTCCGAAGCGCTCTCAGAGCGTTCCGGAACGCTCTGGAGCGGCCGCGGCGCCCAATACATCCTCCAAACCCGCCGGTTCTGAGAGAGTTCGAGTTATCCCGATCCGATTTTGTCCCGATCTTCGCGTCGTTTTAATTCGTCGACCGTCCTCGCGAATCAGCGGCCGGCCGGCATGGACCACGACCAGCTTTTCTCGAGCCACGCCCAGCCGCGGCGGCGAGAGGGCCCCTTTTTGCTCCCTGCTCGCTGCTGGCCAGGCCCAGCACTGGACCGCCTCGGCCTCCCCCTCCCCCTCCTCCTCCTCCTCCTCCTCCTCCTCCTCCTCCTCCTCCTCCTCCTCCGCCTCCGCCTCCGCCTCCGCCTCCGCCTCCTCCTCCTCCTCCTCCTCCTCCTCCTCCTCCTCCTCCTCCGGCTCCAACGCGGCATTCTGCCCATGGCTTGGGCGCCCGAGTTATCCGGGGTAACTCGGGTCCGGGGTAACTCGGATTCGGACTCCCGAAACAGGAACCCGAGTCAGCCCTGACCCGAGTTACCCCTGATGATGTGGGGCTCTGGACGCCCGAGTTATCCGGGGTGACTCGGGTCCGGGGTAACTCGGGTTCGGACTCCCGAAACAGGAACCCGAGTCAGCCCTGACCCGAGTTACCCCTGATGATGTGGGGCTCTGGACGCCCGAGTTATCCGGGGTGACTCGGGTCCGGGGTAACTCGGGTTCGGACTCCCGAAAAAGAAACCCGAGTCAGCCCTGACCCGAGTTACCCCTGATGATTCAGGGCTCTGAGTGGCCATCGTGTGCTCCTTGCCTCGTCGGGGCTCGAGGGACAAGGGGCCCCTGCAAACGGGGGGTCGGCCAGAGCGCCGGAAATCTTGCGGCGTCCTGCAGGGCCAGGGGTGCACTGACCTGGGCTTGGATCTGGCGAAAGTCTGCAGGGCCCTGGAAGGCCTGACTGACCCGGGTTCTTGGCGGTGACCGACCGTCCCGGCATTCCTATAGGACTACCACGGCATTTGCTTAGAAGCCACAACTGTTCCAGGAACCAAACAATGTTCTTGGCCCATCAGCCCAATGTGTTAAAACAAGACAGTCTCAGCCAGAAATGTTCTAAGTACATTTCGTGCAGACCACACAAGGTTATTAGAACATTCTTTGGTGGGCCTATAGGCGAGCCAGGACGCTTCGCCACTGCTTGAGGGTTTGCAATGACCTGGATGGTCCATGGGCCCGTGGGTCACCTGGTGAAGCGAATAGGGACCAGTAACCGGGAAAGGTCTGCAGAACCCCCCTTCCAATTGTTGAAACTCAAATCTGTTCGGAGACCTTCTTGACGTACTGGGGCCCATCAATACTTGAAACTCATTATTTCTCCGTGGCGCCAGCCGCACAACAACAACGATTACGATGACTACGTCTACGATTGCGATTGCGACTACGACAACGATGCGACTAGGGGTTACGGCTACGGCAAAGCTACGACTACGATAAGTAGAGTTTGAGCAACGCCTTCGGCGAAGAATGTGTCGATCTGTATTGTAATCCTCATATAAACGTACTCAACATCCCTCTGTCGTGCGGGGTAGCCCAAAGATCATGATTCGCTGGGAGAAAGAGCCCCCAGCACTACCCAGCGCGGCGAGCAGTAGCGAGAACATAATTTCGCCCGCGACGACGACGGCGCCCCAATGAAGCGCCAAAAGGTTCGCACGCCCCACGGCCTGAGGCCAAGAGCGTTCCAAGAAGCGCCCACGTTGGTCCCAAGACGGCCCAAGAAGCGCCCAAGACGCTCCAGGAGGGCTCCGAGAGGATTTCGAGCAGCCCCGACAGAGCAAACAACATTGATGCTGTGTAGGTGCTCGATCGATCTGGGTAGTGCCGCCGTTTCGAGCTGCCGACCGCCCTCAACGGCCCAAGAGGCCCCAAGGTCGCTCCAAAACGGCACCACAAGCTTCCAAGAGGGCCCCAAGACGGCCCCACATGGCCCAAAGATGGCCCAAGAGGCCTTCAAGACGGCCCCAAGAGGGGGCCCAGAGGGAGAACCCGAAGAGACATTCCGAGCTCTCGGCCCCCAGAGGCGCCCAGGAAGCCCCCAGAGGCCCCCAAGAGGCCCCAACAGGGGCTCGCAAGACCACCAACACGCCCCCAGGGACCCCCAAGAGGCCCCCGAGAAGCCCCCAAGAGGCTGCCCGGAGGCCTCATAACTGCTCCCCAAAGGCTCCCGAGAGCCCTCCGAAAAGACCCCAAGAAGCATACATGAGGACTCTGACCCGCACGCAACCCAGGTACGTTTCGAAACTCTGCTGGGGCCATCTTGAGCAATCTTGGCGCCCTCTGGGGCAGTCTTTCGGCTCTTTCGACCAGGTGCGAGCCACATCTCCAAATATCTCCTCGAGGACAGTCCTGCCTGCCCCACCGTTCCCCATGGGTACGAGCACACCGTCATGCAGCCACCAAGGTGCCAAATGGGCCGGCGAAATGAACGAAGCGATCACATAATCTCCACCGCGACGACGACTACGATGACGACGACGACGACAACTAAGATTACGACTACAATCGAGATTACAATCACGACTACGATCGCGATTGCATTCGCGACTCCAAGCTCGACTACAACCGAAGCCACTGATTCACATTGCCATCCTCAAAAGAAGATGCTGACAAATCCTCTCACGTGCAGGGTAGCCCACAATGGATTATCCCCAAGCATTATCCAGCCCGCCCGACACTAGAGGGAACATAATCCCCGCCGCGACGACGACGACGACGACGACGACGACGACGACGACGACGACGACGACGGCGACGACGACGACGACGACGGGGGGAGGAGCCCGGCGTAGAGGAGGGGCGCGGGTGACGGGTGGAGGAGGAGGACAAATGCAAACCCAAGACTCGCCAACGATGTTGGAATACCCACTCCCTCCAAGCTTCCTCTTCACAGGCCCCTACAAGGGTTCATTTCCACTGAGGGGAGTGCGCCGTTCGGGGACAACTGTGTGAAAATCTTGACGCGCACCAAAACAGCATTCTCAGGATTTCAACGCCACGGGTCAACTTGACTGTTGCGCCTTGACGACCCTGAATCGTGCCAGAACATCATTCGTGGGACTTCAACACCACCAATCAATGGATCTGTTGCGTCCTGACAACCGTTCCAAAACACAAATATATGGAATGCTAGCGATGGTGATCCGTGCAACTCTTGCAACTGTACAAGACGAGTGTGCACGGCGCCAAGGCGAGAGCCACATTTTGAAAACGACCCGCCCTCGAATCCTCGAAACTCATGCAATTTTCTAAACGATTGAGCGCGGCGGTAAGGCGAGAACCACATGTTGGAAGCGACCCGCCCTCCATATGTGAAATCGCTGTCCGTCTGTAATCTTCAAGCTCACAAATGGCACTAGTAAGGACGACTCATGCGAAACGCCCGGCCCGCGCTTGCGATTGGCCTCGGGGTGCCACAGGGAGGGGTTAATCATTCATCAGGAAAAGGAATGGAGGAGGACGAGGAGGAGGAAGAGGAGGAGGAAAAAGAGGAGGAGGAGGAGAGGCGAGTTTGTTCCCCGCCGAAAGAAAAAGGTGGGGGGGACCCACAACTAAAGACCTCCTGGGGCTACTGCCACTGACCCGACCGCCCCCCGGGGTGCGCTTGGTTGGACCCACTGACCATACGTTCGCGGCGCATCCAACCGTGGCCAGGAGGGCCACCCAGGAGCCCCACACGGCGAAAAAATGTGGTATCTTTGAGATCCCACGTTGCGAAACCATTGCGCAGCGGCGCGAAACGTGCGGACCAGAAGCCCCGGACCCACTCCTCCTGCGCTGCCTTCTCCGGGCCAGCTCGCTCTGGGATGGCCCCCGTGGCCCCACGCCGGGCGAAAAATCTGGAGTCCCGCAGCGGTTGCGGTGGCACACCGTGCGGTGGCCCCGAACTCCCCCCAGACCTCACCGCACGGTCCGTCACCGCACGGTCTTGGGACCCTGGAGGCCCCTGTCGCCCGAGACGTCCTCGGAGAACACGACCCGAGTCCCAAAACCGTGCGGTGACCCCGAATCCGCACCGACTCACCGCACGGTGTGGTCACTGCCCCGTTTGGGGGCCCACGAAGAACGGCCAGTGTGCAAAAAATGCAGCGTCCGGATCTAGACGCCTCCTAGATGAGGTCGGAATAGATGGGGTCGGAGGATCGCGCCGCATCGCCGATACATCGGCGATGCATCACCGATGCATCGGCGATGCATCGGCGATGTCGGCGATGCGTCGGCGACGTCGGCGAGGAGAACATCGGGCTCCACATCGAGCCGCATCCCCGATGCATCGGCAATGCGGCGCAATCCTCCGCCCCCCCCTGCTCCGACCCCCTCTGGGAGGCCTAGAGGATCTCAGGGTGCCGGTCTCTTCTGCCCCCCTCGAGGCACGCAGGCGGCGGCCGGCGGCCCCTGGCAGGCGTCACAACGCGACCGAAGGGCGGCCGCTGGTGTCGCCGCTGGGCGCCCTGGGGCTGAGCGCCGGCCTCGCCAGCCAGGCCAGCGGGCCCCGCGGCGTGTCGGCCGCGTCGGCCTTCGCGCCGCCGCCGGGGATCCAGGGCTATCGAGTCGAGGGCGGTCGAGGGCAGTCGAAGCTCGAGGAGCGGGGGCGAGCGGGGGTCGAGGAGAGCAGCGCTCGAGGGCGGGACGTCGAGGGCCAGCGGGGAGCGAGGCTCGAGGGGCTCGAGGCGCGAGGCTCGAGGCTCGAGGTGCGAGGGTCTGGCATATCGGGGAGCGAAACGGCGAGGCTCGGGGCCCGAGGATCAAGGGCGCTCGAGGCCCGAGGGGTCAAAGGGGCGAGCGGGGATCGAGGGGGGAGCGTCGAGGGCGGGGCGTCGAGGGCGGGGCGTCGAGGGCGAGCGAGGATCGAGGGGGGCCCCGGAGGCAACAACCGCGGCGGGCGGCTCTGGTCTCGGGCTGCTGTCTGCCTCCAGGCTGAAACCAGCCCGAGGCCAGGGCCCCAGGATCGTCAGAGAACGACTCTTGAAGAGGAGAGACCGGCCCGGGAGGGGGCGGAGGAGGAGGAGGAGGAGGAGGAGGAGGAGGGAGAAGGAGGAGGACTTGAGGAGAAGGGGGAGGAGGAGGAGGAGGAGGAGGAGGAGGAGCAGGAGGAGGAGGAGGAGGAGGAGGAGGAGGAGGAGGAGGACTTGAGGAGAAGTGGGAGGAGGAGGAGGAGGAGGAGGAGGAGGAGGAGGACCAGGAGAAGGAGGAAGAGGCGGCGGCGGCGGGCTCATCAAGGGCACGGGTCAGTTCCACGCTGGCATGCGGATGGAAGACAGCAAGCCACAAAAAATTGACGCAAGTCCCTCGGGTGCGCTAAGCAGCGGGCGTATACCAAGGGCCAGGGGGCTTAAACGCCCCGCGGCGGACCCCAACATCGGAGGTATCCCTGAAGCCACATGGCGTCCCCGATAAAATTGGGAAGCTACTTACAGTAGACCACTGTTTCAAACACGAAAGGAGTCAAGAGACAAACACCCCTCCCCCCGACTAGGACCCTGGTGCTTCTGGGTTCCTCGGTGGCGGACTGCCCACCAGCCGCGGGATGCTGGTTTCGAGGCTGCATCAGCTGGGCGGATGAGGAGGACTCGATGACCTCGGCGGGCGGGAGGGGGGAGGAGGAGGGACCCTCGCACTAGGGGCCGCGGAGTGGTGGGCTCTCGGGGCGCGCTCGCCCCCAGCAGAGGAGGAGGGAGGCAGCGAGAGAGGCCTCGGAGGACGAGTCGAGACGGAGGTAGGAGCAGGGAAGCACTTAGTCGCTGCGCTTCTTCCAAAGACAAGCGGTAAGGTATTAGGCAAAACCCCATCATCTAGCCGTGTGCTCCTCAAACATGTTTGCCCCACTCTCCCAGACGTCGAAATCAAACTCTCAGAACTTGCAGTCTTGGTTGTGCAAAAAAGACTAGGAAAGGCTTGCCACCGGCATTCCCGTGGGCGAAATCCTCGACGAACGGGCACGCGCCATAGATCTCCATGGAACATCGGGCAGGTCAACCGGTGTCAGCTCAAGTCTTTGCCGCGGGATCATAAGCGCATCTGCTCGACACTGTCCAACGTTACCTGCATCGGCCTCTCGCCGTGGACCGGGGGGGGGGGCCCGCTTCCGCTCCGCGCCGACTTGTTTCAAGGAGTCAAGCAACGGAGGCATCGCTCCCGCGGCTTCTGCTGCTACGTGGATCTTCATCACCTTCCTGTCGCGCGTGAACGAGATGCGGTAGTGGCTCACCTTCTCGCGCATCTGCCCGTCGGCAATCGCTGGGTCCGCCTTGGCCCCGTCCAAGTAGTCGGCGATGGCCTACGCGCTGGCGGCCCCCACCCTCTCGCCCTGTTGGTGAACTGTTTCGAAAAGTGCTGGCCGCAAGCTGGGGTGGGGAACTCCGAGGGCGTCCAGTTCGGGCACCCTCTGCTTCTCGCGCAAGGCCTGGGCGTGCTCTTTGCGAAGCCGGGCGGCCTCTTGGACAAAGAACTGGCTCGTGACTCCCATGGCCTGGCAGATGGGATAGTCCTTCACCAAGTGCATCCGGCGATGCGCAGTCGCCTCCAGCGCGTTGATGTTCTGGGTGTTGCGCAGGGCCATGCGGGCCACGACTGGGAAGAAGGCCTGAGTCAGCTCCAACGGAATAGCGCCCCCCTGCAGCCTGGCGAGGTCCTGCCTCTGGAGGCCGAACGCCTGGTCGGCTTGGTCGAGGACGTCCGCGAGCGCCCTGCCGATGCGATTGAGCTCGAGTCCTGGTCGAGGTTGCGGTTGCTGGCGCTGCCCTGCCCCTGCCGCGTCCTCTGCCCCGCGCACCGCCTGCTGCGGCCCTATGGCGCCCTCTTCCTGTGGTCGCTGCTGGTGGCGCTGGGCGCCTCCGCGTCGTGCTGGGCGGCCTCGGCGTTCTCCGCCGCGGGAGCGGAGGGCGCGGTCTCGCGCCTGGGGCTCCTGGCCCATGGCCCTTCTCTGCCAAATCCATAGATGAGCACGGGGGCTGGAGGAGCACGTGCTTCCCGAGCGTGCCCCTGCAACTCGGGCAAAGACTCGAGGGATTCCTTTCGTTTTGAGCCAGGTCGCATACATGCTACAAACTCACGAAGCGCCGTATCCAAATCCACGCCAAAGAAAACAACGTAGATCCACGGGTTCCTGGACGGGCGGGGCGCACGGGCCCATGTCGCACGGGCATCTCCCCCTTCGGAGCGACTGCGCCACGCGGCGCCGAGCGGTGGCTGGGCTTACGAATGTTGACATACAATGCAAGCGCTGATTGGTCATCGCGAGCACGCGCGCGGGGGCCCTCATCTCATGCGACGAGCGCCGACGCCGGCGCGCAACGAGGGCCCCCATTGCTGTGGCCAGCCACCCCGCGCCTCCCACCCCCCCTGTCACCCGGCAGGTCACATGCGCATCATTGCATGGGTTCCTCAGGGGCAACCTGCTGGGACCAGCAGCAGCTTAACTTCTCCATGATGGGGCCGCGCTGGGAAGCGAGGGCCTGAAGCTGCATAACTTCTTTCTCGCGGATGGGGCAGCGAGGAGCTCCAAGAGCGAGCGCGCCGCAAGAAACTCCAGGCAATTGCGGAGATACTGACGGGCCCCGACATCCAGTTCGAACTGCTTCGCCCAAAGATTCGCGGAGCTGGCAATCATGCCAGTCGGTGCGAAAACACTGTACTCCTCGAGGCCGTCGAGCGTTCCGAACGGCGTTGCGAGGGACTGCCTGCCGTCGGCAGGGTAGCGAACAAGGAGTTGCCACTGGCGCAACCGTCGCATCGCAAACTCGGCCCTGGATTCCGTGATCCTGAAAGCTTTTAGGACCAGGTGTTCGGACATGGATATATGTTTCGGGCTGGTCCCTGGGTTCAGAGGATCAAGCTCTGGTCGACGGTCGCGCAAGACAGCGCGCGCGACGTTGAGCGCGACCGCGAGCCTCTTGAAATCGAGCTTCTCAGGGAGGTAGGCCTCCAACCCCGAGTAGGCCGCGCTAACTATGATGCCCGGGAACGCCACCTTTTTTGAATCTGATCGAATGCGTAGTGTCCCAGAGGCGCCCCATCCTCCTCTGCGCCGCCTGCGTCGCCTCCACCCCCTCTGGATCTCAGCTCCGCATCCCCGGTTATCTGCCCCATTCCTCCCGCGCGCAGCGACTCGGCGAACACCGCGCCAGGAAGATGAACCCCTTGGGAAAGCAGCGCCCGAATAACCGCGTAGGCCCCTGGGCCCACCATCACTGGCACGCGCGCATCCGTATCGGGATGTTGGGCAAGGCCCCCCTGGCCCCTGCGTTCTCGGTAGACGATGGCGACGGAGACAAGCGCTCTAGTCCTGGCCTCCAGCGGATTCGGGCTGGAGAGCGGCAGCGCCTACTGGATATCGTCGGCGCAGCGCCGCACCGAAACATCGCGCATTGAAGAGAGGGGGGGGGGGGGGGGGCGCGGAGGAGAGGGGGGCAGGTAGGTAGGACAACCCAAAAAAAAGCCCCGCGGGGCAACGCGGCCGCCGCGCGGCCGCGACCGCGGAGACCCGGCTACCACCTGAGGCGCCAGGCCCCCGACCGCGTCGTCGGACTTAAACGCGCAGACGAGGGCGACGAAGCCGAGCGCGAAGGGCGCGAGGGGGGGGGCGGCCCGATCGGGCATGATCGCACTCCCCCCGCCGCTTTGGGCGCCGCCGCACCCGCCGCCCCGGCCTCGAATGGCCCCCCCGCGACGAGCTCGGAAGGCCGCCGCCGCGGGCTTCCGCGCGAGCGCGCCCCAGCTGAGCCACGCAGCGCGCCCTGACCCAAGGGTGGGGGGGGGGGCTTCTTGAGCTGCTGCTCGTGCCGCTCCACAGCGGCCGCAAACCCCCCGGCCCCCGCCCAGCCCGCCGCGGCCGCCGCTGGCCCCGCGGGGGCCGCGCCAGCGCGCGCGCGATCAGGACGAGCAGGAAGAGCTGCCGCGGCTGAAGGGGCGGCGGGCCGCCCGCCGTCCACCCGCGAGTCGCCCCCCATGGCCCGCGGCGTCGCCGTCGTCGTCGCTCGCTCCAGCGCCCGCGCCCTCTGCGCCAGCAGCAGGGGGCGCCTCCGCGGCGCGCCGCGCCGCGAGGCGGCGGCGCAGGCGCCTCCGCCGCTCCGACTTCGCCGCGGAGGCGTCGGGCAGGACAGCGGGCGCCGCAAAAACTCCAGGAACATCACCAGCAAGCGCGGGCGCCGCCGTCGGCCTCGGCCCCTCAAAGCCAGCGAACAGCGCGGCGGAGATGGCCGCCCGCGCGACTGCAGCGACCGCGCGCCGAGGCGCCCCAGCGAGCGCCGCAGCCCGAACGGCGGCCTCAACGAGAGCCGCGCCGAAGGCCGAGGGAACCCCTCTAGGCCCCGACACCCAGCAGCTGCACCTCGCCGAAGAGGGGGCGCGCGGACGAGGCCATGCGATCACTTGAACCAAACTGGCTACGGAAGGAGGAGAGGGGGGGAGAGAAGGAAGAGGAGGAGGAGGAGGAGAAGGAGGAGGGGAAACGAGATCAGACGAGCCCATGGAATCCACCTGCATCAGCTGACGAGCCGCGTCGCACGGGACTGCGGC